GGTCTGCTCTCAAAAACTTTATTGCCCATGTTGTTCCTACTCTCCTTTTATGCATGACTGCCTTCAGGTCACAGCCTGAACTCTACCATCATCTTTAAGTGCACATCTAGTCTAAGGTGAATTTTATCAGCCTAAATAGTTTCTGTCATTGCCTACCCAAAGCCAAGGTACATAGTATAGCTTCTGTATCACATCATCTCAGTCTTGCAGTGTAAGTGCTCAGGTCTCCTCCAGCACTGCCACCACCGCCTCTTCTCCTATCTACCTTGAGAAAGGAATGAAATAAATACCTCAAGCTCTCCTGCCAGCCCCACTCCTCATTCCTTTCCTTTCCCTGGTGCCCTGGTCCATGGCTGCAGGGTTTCCTCAGTCTTTTGCCTAAACATCAGCTCTGCAGCCTTGGTTAAGCTCAGCCGCCGTGTCAGCCTCATATTCCCTTCGAGTGCACTTTCTTCTCATTTTAGAAAAATGCAGTCCAAGTGCAAAGCTTATTAAATAGGTACTGAAGCCAATAAACCACCAAGTGACAGATAAACAAATTACCTTCTCCTCAGGCAACCTCCTCGGGAGGTTACTTCTCCCTCCCCAGGGAGGCAGAAGACCTCTTACTTATGTCATGTCCTGGTAACAGGAGCAGATCTGCGCTGCAATAATGACTGTTTACAAATCACGTGCTTCAGGCCTTCAGCCACCTGCCTGCCGAATCCGGGAAGGGACTATTTCCCTCAGTACAAGATTGGCCAGAATTTTTTTATGACTTCTTCGCCTTCTTTTGAAGCACTGAGGATCAGCAGTAGGTGAGACACAGTACAGGACAGACAGTGAAGAGGGTCCTCCCTCTTGCAATTGACACCTGCCTGGATAATTTGCTGATCAAATTTCTTACCAAATTCGGCAATAAATATTATTCCAGTCTTTCTGTCCTCTCGGACTGGTGAGGCATTAATTTTCTCTTACCTTCTTGGATCTGTATCTCAGTACATCTCAGCTCTGCGACTGCAATGCACCTCTGCTTCTTTCGTTTTTGAGGTATGGCTCCCATCTCTTCGACTTACAAGGCCAGAAATGTCTTCATTTGTCTTAAATTATTGGCATCAATATATGTTGTAGAAATTTAACAGTGTATACAGGAAACCAGGGCAGGTAATTTAACTTTCCCCCCCTCTACTCGGCACTGGTGAGACACACCTGGAGTACCGTGTCCGGGTCTGGGCTCCCCAGCACAAGACAGACATGGACTTACTGGAGTGAGTTCAGCAAAGGACCATGAAGGTGATTAAGGGACTGGAACATCTGACCTACGAGGAGAGATGGAGAGAGCTGGGACTGGAGAGAGCTGAGACTGCTCAGCCTGGAGAAAAGGGGTATAAATACTTGATGGGGGGAGTAAAAAAGATGAAGCCAGGCTCGTCTCAGTGAGGCCCGGTGACAGGACAAGAGGCAGTGGGCACAAACTGAAATACAGGAAATTTTTAAATTTTTAAATGAAGACTGTAAGAGCTGTCAAGCACTGGCACAGGTTGCCCAGAGAGGTTGTGGAGTCTCCATCCTTGCAGATACTCAAAACCTGACTGGACACGGTCCCGAGCAACCTGCTCCAGCTGACCCTGCGTGAGCAGTTGGGCTGGAGGAGCTGATCTCAGCGGTGCCTGCTGGCCTCAGTGAGTCTCGATTCTGTAACCTAACAGGCTCCTCTGGCTTAAAATGCTGTGAAATTAGTCCAAGTCACAGTGTTCAACTGCTCATTTAAAGCAAAAGAGATTATTAAATACCCAGATGTCGAAAGAAATGCTCGATCGCACCATGGTGCTCGATCGCACCACGGTTGTCTACATCAACTGCCTCAGGGATGCCATAGCTAAAGTATGAAACAACCACCTCTTGCTCAAGTCTTGCTGCTGCAAGAATCGCCTAACCAGGCACCCAGACCCAAACCTCCAGCAAACAACCACGCAAGGCTCCACCCAAAAGGGAGAGGGGGCCTTGGTGAACCCCAGGAGCAACTAGTGATGGCCAGTAGTGGACTCCACAAAGGAGCGGACACTGTCATGCCTGCAGACTTCCCACTGGCGACAAAATCAGTCCTTTAGCATGTTCTTTGCCCAGTTACTTTACCCAAAACAAGCTTTTGACAGGGATGACAAGAGCCAAGGCAGCCCTTCCCTTTGCAGTTGTGTTCCGCGGCAGAATAGTGCCTAGAGCACACAGCTATCTGTCAGCTTGATGAAACACGGTATTGCATATAAAACTGAAACTGCCATCACATTATTTCAAAAGTAAAAAAAAGTCAAAGCCTCATAAAACATACATTTTGTAATGCTTACCAGGCTTGATACTGCAAAGTCAGCTCAGCAAGACAAAAAAAAAAAAAACCCCTAGCTCTAGCTCCATCAACTCCTCCTTTTTGTGACCCCCATGGTGATGGCTGCAAGCCCTCTGTGTTTTCACATACATATGAACATATACATATGAACACATGTGAATTTGGATATATTTTTTCCTAAATCATTGAAGAACCAGAAAGTTCATCCTTTTGCACGCGCAAAATGGCCATTTTAGCAGAATCAAACATCATCCCAAAAGCAACTAAGAGCGATCTGCAAACTATTTTCCAAATGGTTGCTTTGGTGCTTGTGTTTTTTTTAACATTTGAAATAGCTGATTCTCACACCCCTCTCTTTGTGAAAGAAGTGGGAAGATTCATGGATCTGACTAATCTGAGCAACAGTACCTTGAAAAAAGAGGGGAAACTGATTTGTAAGGACTAACATTGTAAATTCATTTTGAACCTAGAAAGTGTCCCTAAATTTTCATTTTTTACACTCTGAACTCCACTGTTTCACTAAAAAACAAAGCTGAAGTGAGAGAGGACAGCGATCAGGTCTGTGCTAACAAGCAGCATCTTTTGGTGCCTGTTTTTAGCCCTCCTTTCTGACCTCAATTTCGCTGGCCAGGTTCTCAGGAGAAAGCCAAATTATACCCAAACTCCTCTAGAGGCTCCAGATGATCCTCCTCTGGCAATAAAAAGGGTGTCAAGGAAAATGCTGAAAGAGTTTATATCTGTGCCTGACAGTTGGCAATTCCGGCACAAGCTTAAGCAGGGTTAAATCTACTGCAATTTTGGGAGAAACCCTGGACAAAATTTGAATGTTGTCTTCTTCAGAAAATATATGCTAAGAGCTAATACACTTCATGTTTAGTAGCTGTTGAAAAAGAAAATTATGACAGTGCAGAAAATATAATACATGTATCCAATATACTAGCTCACACAGTGGGAATAAAGCGGTTAAAAAAATACAGTAAATCCTGATGTAGGCACCAATGGTATTTTTGGCACTAAAGTAGCATATTTGGTAAGAAGGAAGAAACCTGTACTGGGAGACATACTCCAGTGCATGGCACGTCCCTGAGTGAGTCCACGAAATCCAAAACTCAGCCTTCAGTGGCACCAGGATTTTTCTTCAAATTCATCTACAGCTCCTTCTGCAGCAGGAAAAAGGAAGGACAGCTGGAAGAGATGAGATGCCCTGGAAAGAGATAACCTTTGGAAAGTTGTTTTTGTCCTTTTAGGAACATTTGAGTATAGCCTAGAGCATTCCTCAGAGCCAGTCCAGAACCTGCCCCATGGTAGGACGGCAGGGCTTGCTCCAGAAAAGAGCCAGGCCATCTTACCTGGACACACGGGACACTGCTATTTTGCATGCTCAGGACATTTTTCATTCTTCTAAGATATAAAAAGTTCAAAAATCCCCTTACTGACCAGACAGACTTTGTACATTTCCTAATGCATTACTCAGCCTGGGCTACCTTGCTTACCCATAAGCTCCTCGGCAATTACAGCAGGCATTTGCAAACCCACCACTGATTTGTAGCATGGATCTTTTGGGTTAAGTCTACCAATTGAGAGGTCTATGCCACGCCGTCACTGCTGAGAGGAAAAACCCCTTTCTTGCTGTTACATTTGTTTGGGCCACTGCCAGGGCCCAACTTAAATGAAACCAGACAGCACGCGTTGCACTGCCCAACAGTAGTGCTCTATGTTGCACAAAGTGCCGCCGAGCGCTAGGCTCAGATGTCTCTACAGAAAAACTTAAGGTAAGTTTTCAGTTGTTCAGCTAGCACATACGCAGGACTGAAATGGCAAGTAAAGTGGTCACTCAAACTTTCACCATTACTTTTTGCAGAGACCATGCTCCTTAACCAGATGAACAGCTTCACTGATCAGATGAATAGTTAGACTCTGCATGTCTCTCCCCTGTGCTACACTTCTATACAATCTGAAATAAAAGTTTAAATCTAATATTGATCCAGCTTCTTAGTCCCGTATATTATGAATTCTCTTTATTTTTGCCACCTGTCATATTTTGCCAAAATTAACAAGGACTAATGTGGGAAATACCCATAAGAAAGCAGGCACCGACCCAACATTTAATAATGCTACCTGAAAGGAGGACTAAAGCAGTACCCACAACATTGCACCGTTTGGCATCATTCATCAGTTCTTTGCAGGATGACGGACTGCGGAAGGATGCTGAGCACAGGGAGAAAATGAGAACAGGGCAGAGCTTTGACAGTTGGCCTCTGACTGAAAGACAGAGCATTTGAAATCTGAAATTGTTGAATTTTTTTTTCCTTAAAGGAACATTGTAAATGATACTAATTGACCTTTTCAAACACTCCAGATGAGCAGGGGGAAGCACACAGAGGGCACGTGTTTTCTTCTGCACTCTCCTTGTGGGATACATCCTACCCATTTTAGTGAAAACCCAACTTTCCAACCAGAACTTGGGAGAAGTCTGCAGATGTTCAGTAGCCTAAAACAGTTGGGTAATATATGCATTTTTTTCTTAGTAAAGAACTGACCTTGAATTGTGAAACGAGTCATTCTTCTCTTACACCGACGGTCTCCTCCTGTCCAAAGCAAAAGAGAGCAACAAGCGCACACACGCGTGTGCCTGCATGCGCTTCTGCAACTGAGCCAGCAAGAAAGGGAGGAGTGCTTAAGTTCATGCACATTTTTATTGAGTAGTAATATAAAATGCTTCTTTCATTGTTACAAGTGCATGCTTTGATTGCCAACATTTCGAAGTCAAATTACAAAGGCAAGGCTGTAGGCTGTAGTGAATTACTTGGGCACTTATACAATTGTTAAAAAATATCAATGGACTGTTTTGTTTTGTTTCTTTTTCTTTTTTAGAATGAACCAGTTGAAACCCGTAACTGATATACAAAGGGAAAAAAGTGAAAAAATTACACATTTTGTGGCACATGACAGAACAAAACAAAATGACTAAACCATTATGACATTAACAGTTATCATGCATTTAGAATTTCACATGTAACTACAAACTTATTTAAATTTCACAAGGTTTGCTAAACATGCTACCCATCTATATGTGCACTGACAAGCTTATGTTAAAAACTTTAAGAATACTCTCCCCTTAGATTTTTCAAAGCTTTTTTTTGATTACAAAATTTCAAAGGCATTAAGCATTTTTTTTAGAGAATATAAAGTACGCCAGTATACATACATTTCCAGTATAAGTCAGACCACTAAGCGCATTACAGTCCCATACAGGCCTATACAGCCATTTTTTCTTAAAAAACATGCATAGGCAGATTTTTACAGAATATAGATGCTTTTCACTGCACTTAATATGGTGTCTTGTTCACTATACTTAAAAATGCACCACTCATAAATATTTAAATTCAGCAAGCCACAACCAAGACTTGATTTACCAAAAAAACCCAGAAAACCCCCCAAACCAAACCCCCCTAAATATAAACAGCAAAAAAAGATAAATGTTATCATTATTCCAGTTTTTTTTTAAAACAAAGAAAAGGATAATTGCTGCCAAATTAGTAAGATAAGTGTTATATTTAAAGAAGGGCATTGAAGCACACTAAAGAAACCTGAGGTAAGCATAATCTGTACAAAATTAAACTGTCTCTCTCTCTCTCTCTCTCTCTCACTCTCTTTCTCTTTTTTTTTTGCATTTTAAACAAATTTCCAACATTCTTTTTTTTCCTCTATATTTTTAAAGACTGCCTAATTTATTTCATAGCCATTGTCTGACAAGAGTAGCAAAACATTATCAATAAATAGTCCTTTTTTAGTTTGTACATTTTGTTAAAAATGTTTCGATGTTGTCCATGTTTAGTGCTGCAACTGTAAACGTACAATAGTTAGTAAGAAATTAAACAAAGTTTTCATGTCCAGTAACATAATAAAAGGCCTTTCAGTAACATATCTAGACGTTCCCAATGCAGTAGGAAAACATGTTCATTCCCCTAACTTTGCAATATATACCAGCATGAGCTTTCATTTTTCTACAAGCATTTTAAAGGCATATCCAAAGGAGGTGTCTCTCCCCCACCCCCCCTCCCACCAAATTAAAGTTGACGATCTCTTCGTAGATGATTTTTGTAAACTGAATCCAACACCTGGCCCCCAGAGCAAGTAAGCTATTATCAGAGGCAAGAACATCCCACTGCTGATGTGCAGCAACCCCATCGCGCCCTGCAGCTCAACCCCCCTCCCAGACAGTGGTCACTGAATATTGCTGCTATTACTGCCGTTGCTGTCCGTGCCATTAGTCTCTGTGGAGATTGCCTTGTTGATGGAGTTAAGGTTGGCATCGGATGGCACGTCTCTGCGTGGAGGCATTCGCTCATTAATTCGATCTAAGCCTTTGGCCTCTTCGAAGCTAGTGATCTTATGCTGGGGTGAAAATCCTTTGATAGCTAAATAAAGGATTATTAAAAAGTAAAATTAGCAAGGTAAAACTCTCGGCAGCTTTTCCCCCAACTTAGCAATGAGTGCAAAAGTCCTTCTTTGCGAAGGCGGCAATGAGAAGATCTGACAACACGACCGACTCCTTACCGTACTCAGAAAGAGCTGGGGGTTAACCACCACCGTCTCTTGCAACACAACTATTTTTTTCAACAACATCAACTTGCAATGTTTTGTTGTCCACTGGGATTCAGCTTAAACGCTAAGAAGCTGACATGAAACTACAGTTTGCAATCAGGAACCATGCTTAGGGCACAGCCGTGAGCCAGGGAGTTAGCATTTGTCATCATCACTTACAGCCTTTAAGACATCGTGCCTCGCCATAACATCCCTAATCAGGCAAAACTCCCATATGACTTTTAAAGACCAGGGGAAAAAGCACTGGCCAGTTACAGATGGTGATGATGTGGTGAGGCCAGTTTGCGGGATATACATTAAAGCTACGGGAGATCTGGCGCGACCCTACAACAGGTTGCCTTATGTTCTCAACACAGGCGAGCTGCTTGTTGATCGCTCAGGGCAGTTACCCTCCCCAACATGTCCCTGGACTTCTAGAAAGCAGCTTGAGTCAAACAGCGGTAACGCCGTGTAACACGGACCAGGGATATCGTCATTTTGGCACATTTGTACAATTTAACTTTGGAAATGCACTGACAAAGGACCAAAGTTCCAACTGAACCTGAGGACTTTTGATCTGCCCTTCAGCAGCAACATTGATGAGGCCACACCGACCTCAGAAGGCAGCCACAGGCTGCAGAATGTATTTGTAGAGTGTGATTTTTTTTTTTTTTCCTCTCTTTAATTGAAGAGTTGAAGATCTTTAGATTTAAAGCAAAAGAGAAAAAAGCACTGTAGGCAAACAGCAGGTCACAGCTCCGTAGATAATTTCTCGTAGCCTTCTGTGTGTTTTTCTCTTATCTGCACCAGATCAATGCACTGCACTCCAGAACTGGGACTTTTGCTATGCCTCTATCTTAACATGCCATAGAGCAGAAATGGTGTGTTAGTACCAGGAAACTGCAAACTCCCTGGGAAGAAAATGATAGGGGAGTTTCAAAGATCAAATTCAATATTCCTTCCCTCCTTTTATGTTCTCTTTACCCCAAAGTACTCCTGCTCTCCTTCCAATATGCAGTCCCGATTCTGGACAAGCTGGTAACTTCTGTTTAAAAAAAAAAGTGAACAACCCCCAAGCCCCAGAACATCCCTGGTACCAATCTACCACTCCTTGCATTTTGGGGGGAGCGAGAAAAGCGTTTTCATGCTGGTATTTTTGCCAACCGTTCCTGTGAAAATGGATAGATCCGTTTGGATAGATCCCGTTTGCCTCAGGATTTAGTTCCTTAGCCAGTTTCACAAACGTTATATTGGAACTTTGTGAAGTGCATGGGATTTAACATGTATTATACTTCAACTCAGAAAAACAACAACAACATAATGGTGATTAGTCAAGTGAGCAGGGATGGAGCAGTGAAAACAGAAGGGGTCCTACAGTGAGTTTTTTCAAGGTTAGGTTTTGGGTTTTTTTTTTTACCTTATCTTCTACCACAAAAATGAAGATGTCTAACAAGCACCTAGGCCAATCCCTTAAAGCAATAGTTTAATGGATAGCCGTGTTGAAGCTGAAACACTTGCTGTGTCCTGGAGCTTGCCAGTAGCACAGCCCAGTTGTGTCATCAGGCCCTGAATCGAACTGCAGAGGGACAATTGGGAAAGGATGAAACATTTTCTCCATCGTTAGCTTTGTCTACGTAGACTAGTCGTTATGACTTCGGTTACCATGTCTAACTAGTGAGGATGGCAAATCAAGAATTAACTTGAAGGGTGCATATTGCTGGAATGGGGGCACGTTCAATCGATCATATTTCAAGCAGACACGTTATTGTCTGTAATACTGAGGAAGGTGCTCTGCTGTAGTTGCTGGTCAGACAACGAGTATTAGCAGTTTACATTGAGAGTATACTAAAACACAACACATAGTCACAGAAAATCACAGAAAACAGCCAAACTGTCAACGAGAATGCACACTGCAGATTAGAGATTGCCGATAGGAATAGATAATTCCAACATAAATAGCAGCTTACTCACTGCTATTTAGAAAGCAGTTGTATTTTCTCTTACTTATTTGTTCTGTAATTTTATTCACTGCTTTACAAAAATCAAAAACAAATTCAACTGGCCAAAAGGGCACATCTTACCAACAGACAGCAATCATCAGATTTTTTTTTTTTGTTAATTAACTAAAAAAAAAATACTGACAGAAAATTTTGAGAGGGGCAAGAACAAAATACAACTGAAGAATTTTGTTTTAAAGGGGAATTCTGAAAAGTCTTCTTCCAAAAGTTTATAATGCTGAATGAATATTGCACATTCTACATTGCAATATGTGATTACTTCAGTTTTAACTGCAGCGTTAAAAATTGCTTAAGGGTTAAATTAGGATCTGTCAATAAAGCACCATAGTTTTCATACTAAACATTCAGAAATCTTCCGAGGCAGCCAGTCACTTTATTTTTGTAGCTAAAATGGTGCTGGTGTTAATAGTTGCTCTAATGTAAATATCCAGTGTGTAAACTGCCACTACCAGAGGAAGCAGACATCTTGCAGACAAATGTCTCATGTTGTTTTACTTTTAAAGAGAAACAGAAACATGCTGAACTGTAACAAAAGACCAATAGAAATTTTTTACTAGTGACCTAAAAGAAAGGAAACAAACTGAAGCAAAAAAGAAAAAGGGAAAAAAAACCACAACAAAAAGAAAGAATATTTATAAAAAGCTGTGTGTTTTCCTCGACCAGAGATTGCTGAGGATGGTTTGAGGCGGAGACAAGACCCAGCCTCCAGCGCACAGCTTTTGAGCTATATGTCACAGAGCATTTATGAGCTGCTGCCGAGTTATGTCCCGTGAAATCCAAGTCCCCTGATCTCCTCCTGTGGCATTACTCAGTGCTTAGTTCAACATACAGCAATTCCAACGTGATTCTTACTTTCAGAAAGAAAAAAACCACAACAGCAGCAATGGAAAAAAAAACCAAAAAACATTTTCCCCTTTAAAGCAATTACATTTTGGTTAATACCGAGCCACAATTGTTAGCCCAACACCCACACAATCTGTACAAGCTACAGCAAAATGAATACACCCAGCAGAGCCCTTATCTGTTGTGGCACCAACAGAAAGGGGACTGGCCAATTTACCTTCATCAGCCTCAATAGCCTCAACAGTAGCTGAAGAGAAGAAAGGGGTAGCAAAACGAATGAGAAAAATGAGCAGAGGATTTTAACTCTAAGAACAAGTCAGTGAATAGCAAAGGAGCTACAACACTAATGTTACTGTAAGTGCTGGATTTTGGCAAAACAGACACACAGAGAAACGCTTACACAAAAACAATAATTTGCAGATTGAATTAAGCTATAGTTTGTTTTGAAGCAGAAGTTTCACAAACTGAAAGTTTTTAAAGACACATTTGAGTAGTTTTCTTTTGACTCAAAAGAACTACAAAATGAAAATGTCTTCCATATTGCACATCTGACCCAAAAAGGTCATTGTATAATTCTCCCAGCTTTGAATAAGAGCAGTTTGATTTGCCCTGTCAAAAGAGAACGAAAAATGGCATAAAGCCATCACACAAAATTCGTACCACTTACGATGTCAGCTTGATAAGTATTAGCTGCCAGTACAAGGCAAAAGAGCCGCATATTCAACTTCTCAGAACTATTTTTCTTCTCTCTCCTGACTAAAAGAAACCTCCCCACAGCATGGGACAGAGTTTGCTCAGACAGCTTTGCCTTTGCTTGCAATCTCGCCCAGTTTGCTCCATCTGTAAGCATCCTTTTTGTCAACCCAGTCTCTGAAAACAGCATTCTTCCAATATTTTATTTAAATCAATGGACGTAGATGCAAGACTGAAAGCTGTTGGACCTCCAAAATTGCAAAGCCTGATCAGATAAAGTTTGTAATCGGGAGGTTGCTGCAGTGTTATGAATACCATGTTACCAGTGTTTTGAAACCATTCATTGTTCTTAAAGACATAATTTCATTTGAATTCTACCCATCAGCTTTGGCACAAATTTGTTTCTACAGTCAGAGATTTAGAAGCTGATGCAAATCAGCAAATGCAATATAGCAATGGTACAGCTCAAATATTTAAGAAGAAATTTTGATTTTCAAGAACTTCTCTGGTTTAGAGAACAGATCAAGAAGCCAAGTTTTTAGGAATTCCTCTCTTCTTTTTTCTTATTTTCCCCTACGTAAAAGCTTTTTTCGTCCTCCATAAAACCCAAACAATTTTTTTCTGTACTTAGGATGTTAAATATGGATTGAATACTAAAATATATATACTATTATCTTGCTGCATGGGGAAACGAGAGGAGCTAACCCGCATGCACCAAGGTAACAAGCTACAGAGCAAGAGAAATGGCAAAAATCAAGGAACGAAACCAATGCAAACTTAAAAGAAAAGAAAACACGGTAACTAGGATGAGAAATTAAAAATGAATAACCAGATCCAAACCAGCACTGACACATTAGAAAAAAAGGATGACTAAAATGTATACTTCCACAGCAGAACATAGTACTCATATTTTCTGTTAATACATATGGTAATATGAACGTGTGGTTAACAGAAACGATGTAAACTTCAGATTATTTGGTGAATGGGATGCTACGTGTTAACTAATGCAGAAGCTTATGTATAGTAATGTTTTACTAAGCCAGAATACTGCAGTATGAGGAGATTTTCCTTTTAGCCATTGTAACAAGAACTTTAGGCAATTTTCTCAAATTCATTTCAATTCCTAGTATTTCGCCAGGGCAACAATAGCAGTTTCCTTGGACCAAATTTTCTGACAAATGTAAAGCAACTATATGGAGAAAAGCCTAGGTAAAGACAACAACCCCATTAAGAAAGGCATCCTGTAGAATCATATTGCAGCATTTTCAAAGCAGAACGTTACTATGTCCATGACACACAAGTCATCAAAAAGAAAAAGGGAAGGGAAAAAAGGGGAAAAGAAGGTTTACCATCGTATACCTGAATGTTCTAGGTAAAAGAGACAGTAAAGGGAAAAATACAGAGAAAGAATGCTCCAGGAAGGAAACAGGAAAACAAGAGGCTGAGACTGTGTTAAGGTTAGAAAGCATTTCTATTTCTTACATCTACTGCCAAGAGAACCTCAACAAGTGAGAGACATTCTTGTGTGCCTGCAATATACTCTACAGCAATTCACACAGAAAAAAAGAAGAGCTTACAGCAGTAAATTAAATACTTTGCAGCTCCTTATTCCAAAAGGAGTATTTCATCACTTACAGATTTCCTGTTACAAGAAGCACTTGGTATAAAACTGAACTGACAATCTGCATTGTGTTTGTGTACAAGGCAAACACGGTGTTTGTAAGAACCTCCCTTCACTTGGGCTTAAATCAGAGCGAAATTGTTCTCATGCTGTCACCTAGAATTGATTGGAGAGAAAATCTAATTCTAGAGATATTTTCCATTGGTGATTCTCTATGAGAAAGAACAAATCAGATAAAATAAGAGTTTGAGTGTCATTATCTAAGCTGAACCTTCAGTACTCTGTGTATGAAAGGCTGCTTTTAAAAAAAATCAAAAAGATGCTGTAAACTGTGGAAAGAGCACACTCCACATGCCGTGCTGACCTACCATTCCAAACAGTTGATTTTCAGGGACGTTTTCCCCCCACTCTTTCTTTGAAAATCAGTGGTACGTAGTAAGTCTTGAGAAGTAGCCTTACATGAACTGCTCACAAATGCTCCAGTACAACAAACCGCCTGTTTTATTCTGTCCTTTATTTTTTTCTGAGAAGACTGCGGTTACTTTTCTTGGGTTCTGCAGTTGAAAACCAATTGGTTTTTTTTACACATAATGACACACAGAGGCAAACATGCTTACCGCTTTGCAGTGTTTGTTTTCCTCCAGAGAGCACACCACTGGGCAGCATTCCTGTTGGAGTTAAACCTTTCAGCGTCAGCACACTTTCACTCTCTTCTCTGCAGAAGGAAAAAAAACCCCAAAAGTAAGTTAATTGTCTTTTTTTTAAACACAGAACACGTTTTAGACACCTTAAGCTACACCTGCCCTGCAATGATTTGGTTATCTCCAATCTCCTTACCAGGATAGACTGAATCCGGTGATAACACCAGCACCAGTGCAGTTCCCCTCACTGCTACGTAAGTGGTTCACCTTTGCACCACACCATACGCAGACTCCCACTATAGTTAACACTATAACCTGTATCTATGAAACAACGTATGACATATGTTTGCATATATGTACATAAAACCACAAACTTGCTAGGAGGACCACCAAAGGAGCAGTTATTGCCAACAATACATTTAAATGTCTTACATCGTGTGGTCCAAAATCAACTTAAATTGTTGTTTTGCTTTTGTCTGCACTAACAGTCAGGTGCATTATTTATTAATGATCATCAGTCACTTACAAAAAAGCAGCTAAAAGCTCATTAAAATTAATATGCACTTCCACCCTTACTAGCACTGTTCTTAATAGTTTTGTATGCTAAAAATGATACTGGATTCAAGAAAAATGTTGTAGGAAACCTAAATATGTTTTTCCAGTCTTCAAATACACGTAGTTTTTAATACATGGCAAGAGGAATACAACAGCTCTATCCAGACAAGCCATTAAATACAGCTTTCTATGAGCACTGTAATGCTGTCTGTGATGACATACCTTCTCAGCAGCAAAATTGACCCCAATTCTTTAAGAGAAACCTATTTTGAAGTGCTTTACTTTGAAATATATAATGGCATTAAGCTGGAGGAAGCAAGCACGAAGACAGAATTTAGTTCCACGTTCACTTGAGGATAATGTGGTTTTGTCTATCAAAACTGTCTCTCAGCAATACTACTACTTACAATTTTCTTTAGACCTACGTGCCCTGAATTACTCACATATTTCAAACAACTTGTTTACCTACTGCATATACTCTTAAAGTTCTATTTTTAGTTTGAAAATGATTCTCCGTGTACACACTTTTCTTTGTGTAATAGTCAAAATCAAATTGTGACCGTTTTCCTTGCAAGTTTCCTAAGCAATTAGAACTAATGCAACAGCCATATATTTCCAGAATTAACACAGTATTTTCATCATCAAGAATTACACACCAGAGTTTTTGCTTTCTCTTGATTATTTGCATCTGCAAGCAAATGCATAATCTGCATTTTCAATTCAGTCAATTGCAACTCTTTTTTTTTATTAAAACCGCAGTGAGAGTTTTAGCTTCACCTTCATAGGGTAAGTTTATTCACTGCATATTCCCAAGAAACCTCTGTATCACAAATTTTGCGATTTTTTAGCCTTCAGTGTTCCTTATTTTCTAATTTATGTTCTTTACTTCCATTTAAAAAAAAAAAGAAAATAAACTGATTAAATATTTTATTTACCTCCCTCCTGTCTAAATATATATAAAAAAAAAGTCAGACTTGAGAATCAAAGTCAGAGAGAGGCAATGACAGGGAATCGTGAGGTCTTCCACTGAGCTTAAGCCAATCTTTCTATGATGGCTATTCTCAGCAAAGCTCATTTATAACCTTTGAAACTCAAAACAACACTATTTTGATATCTAATTTTGAGACTAAAATGGCTGAAATGATCTCAGTTTTACATTCAGCTTATATCCTCGAGGAAAGTGGCCACTCTGGCTCCGTGAAGAGAGGTTCGACTGAATCCTTTGAAAGTGGTCAAATCAGGTGCTGATCATTCGGAAACACTTTTCAAGAATTAGTGAAATAAATTTCATAAAACAGCAATGACTCAAAACAGGAACTTCAAAGGTTTCTGAAATAGGCTGATTTAGATGATAGTGCCACTGCAGTCTTTGCGGGGTTACACACAATTATCAGACACTCGTGTGTTACATGTGGATTGTGCTGGCAAGACAGAAAAAATAACCCAGGCTTTTCTATAGGAACGGTATTTGCAAGATTAACCTTGTGTAATTTTTGCTGTCTAGAAGCCTGGCACCTAGCTGAGGAGAATCAACCTTTCCCAGCAAAAAAGAAGAAGAGGTACTCCCAGGGGGGGCAATGGTGGCTGGGATGAAACGTCACTCATCCCCCTGGAAGACTGGTCAACAAAACTGCCCATTGGAGGTGCCTGTTTATTTGCTGACTACACCTCTGACCACAGTAAGGATGCGCTGTATTTGCTGGTTAAAGCTAAGGGAGAACAAATATACTCTTCATCTTCAGTCCTTCCTGCAAAGTTTTAAGGTCCATCAGTAACCAAGAACTGGAAAAGGCTCAGAAGCTTCAGTGAGTGAACCACTGGCTTCTCCTCTACCAGATACAGACAATTCTGGTCTTCTGGAGATGTTGGGATGCATGTGGTAGGGGTAAAAAATTGTCTCATGAACAGCTCTGAGATGAATTTGATTGCTTTTCAGGGAACAATCAAGACTGATTTCCATCAGTGCCTCAAAATGCTGATTTTCATGAAATACTTTAAGAAGGCTCAAAGTTTCAAGCGGTGCTAAAACCATAAGCTATGAGGCTCATGCATATCACTTTAAACAGGGCACATGCAAGACATGCTGTACCCTTCTTCCATCCCTGAAACCATTGAAAGGCTCCTGCCCCACAGTTCCCTTTGAAAGTCTTTGACATATAGGTGATGTCAATCATCTGCAAGTTATCAAAACCCAAATATATCAGCTGAGCATCCAATTTCAGGCTTTTCTGTATATTTAAGTCCAGGTTTCTCTTAACTTAATCCTATATTTCAAAAGGTGCTCTGCAATAACATACAGCGGATCCAGAAGCTGCCGTTCAAGGTTATGGGAGAAAGCCAGGTTTCCCAAACTTTGTTTGCTCAAATATCGTCAGAGAAAAATAATCGTGCTGTTTTATGAAGGTGGTGGCAATGTCAGCTCCAGGCTTTCTGCCAGACTTGGTACGGAGGACCAGGTGGAAACATTTGATTGCTCCCCTGTCCTGTTTAGAGAAAAGGCATGATGCCAACTTTTTTTTTTTTTATGGGTACCACTTTGAAGTAGCTTGTGCATCACTAGTAATTCACATATAACACTTTGGGAACCCCAGGTACAAAGTCCTCCCTCTCAGTATGCTATTTAAAGCTATGCTGCTGCAATCTGCAACATGTGGGCGAACTGCTGTGGCCATGCAAAGCCCCACTGACAACCTGCCCACTGTTTGCACGCTGTAGAAGAGTCTCAAATCAAGCAAGTTAGAGTTTCATCTGAAATCAAATGTATTCTTCAAGTAACTATTTTTATTTCCTCTTTTTATACCAATCATACAATCATACCAATACATTTTTAAAAAATGCCTTGATTTTGCACTAACCATAATAGCTGTAAACTGACTACAGCAGAGCAACATTCAATTTCCAGAAAAAAAAAACCCTCTGCTGAAAGGGAGGGAGAACTGTATTTTCTATATTTAGACTTCAGCACAGCACAGTACAGCACGTTTTCTCTTCTGCTCAGAGACATCAAATGAAGAGTTCTAAACATTGGGTAGCAATTAGTTACTCATGTTCATGTGTTTGGGGGAGTGCAGCCCAAGGTAAGGAGTTGCTGTTGTCTGCATAATGATTTCCTGGATTTTTAGTTAATGACCCTAATGCTTTCATCTTTAATCATCTTTACTCAAGGCTGTAGCAACAACTGTGGGTGACAAAGTGGGACAGTTGGCTTCCTTTTTAATGAGACATGATGTGGAACATACCCTTTCTCCACAGTTAAGTCTTGCTTCGCAGTGGCTAAGCGTTAATTAGTACACCTGGTGAGCAAAAGTCTTTAAAAAAAGGGTAATTGCAATTTTCTTTGCTGATGTCTTTTTTTTGTTTGTCTGTTTTATGTTCAGCAAAAGCCCTGAGGAAGAAGATTATTCAGAGCTATAATAAACAGCAATATTGTATAAATAAAACAATCTTTAAAAGGTTCCAGTAAAACTCAGTTGGGTGGTATATTAAAATATTAAATTTGCTGTTTGATTAACAGTAGAGTGCTCTAAGTAATAATTCAAAGATGTCCTTTAATATTAAAAAAATCTGAAACAGCAAAAAACCTTACCTTAACACTGAGAAAACTCTAGCCATTTTTCCTATTGCTCTTATCTTGTTCCTTATAACCTCCTTTCGAGCAGCAGCTGTGGCTCCTACGGAAAATACATTAAAAACAGTTATAGGGATTTGTAAACAGTACATCACTATTCTGAATTCTAAATACAAGAAACACCATATTAATGCCACGGTTTGCCAAACTAAGCCACATTTGTAGTCAAAACCAAAAAGACTATTTTTTTTGTTATTTACAGCTCAAGACTGATCACTTTCGAACAATCTAGTTATTAGCACTTTTAAAGGTGTGATCCTTTTCCTGCTACACATTAAAGCTGCATGTTTTTCCATCAATGCATGATAATTTTCCATTTCAAAAACATTTTCAGAGACCACACTTTTTTAAAAACAAGTTTCTTAGAAAATAGTCAAAATGTCAAAAAGATATTCAATATCAACAGTTAAAATCTATTTCATGATCTTATCATTTTAAGTGAAAAACAATCACGTTTCACTTAATTTTCTAAAAAAAGTGATTGGGTTAAGCTTAAGGTCAAGAGGGTCCAGTCAGGGTTTTCCCATCCCTAGTTAAACAGTATTTAAATGGTTATAAAACCTAAAGGCAGAGTCCTGAAAACCAGCATGAAATGGTAGGGATTGTGTCGACTGGCAGTGGTTAAGAGAGTTCCATAGATGCAACTTTATTTTCATCACTGCTATGGCCTGCTCAAAATTACAATTACTCTGAAATTTGTGAACAGTAACCTGCCTTAAAAAAACATATGCTGGAACAGAGACTACAGTTCAGCTAAGTTTGCATGTGTACTTGTTACTTGGATATCAGCAAAACCTAGAATATTATCTGTGCGTCCTGGAGAGAACCACCTGAATGGGAAAAGTAAATAGTACTAAGTTATCAGAACAAGGTATTTCTTTTAATAAGGACCCCCCACATCCCCAAGAAAATGCCATGTTATACTAAGTAAACCAGTTTCACTTAATTATCACAATCATAACCACATACATCATGAAGATTTCTCCCAAAGGTTTCTGAATGAAAGGTAACCTTGGCTTGTATGGATGCTGCCTGGCAACTCTTGCCTCGGAGGTTCAAGAGTGCAACCTGAAAACCACTACATCAAGATAACACTTCCTTCCTCGCTGCTCCAGAATTCAAAGAGAAAATTTCTATTTTCAATTCCTAGCAAATCGATCCATCTTGTAAAGTGGAGTCCATCATGGAAGCTAAAATAGCAGAAAGGGCCAAAAATGAGGGAGTTGGTTATGGCAGCAGAGGGGACAGCCCCGGCGAGCCGAGGCAGCTGCAGAGCACCGCGCAGAGGACCAAGGCGTTGCCGAATGTGGGTGATGGATGCCAGAGGTGAAAAGCTGCAGAAGACAGCCATGGGGCCTTGCCGTGCAGACCTTCCTTCGCTGTATTATGAGCGCAAAGTGACTTCAGCCAAACAGGCTCATAACAAAACACTGAACTCAATGGCAAAAGTCCCATCTGCTTCAGCGACACCAGCGTTTCACACGCTGCTCCTCCTCTGTGCGGTCCTAGCTGCTCTGGGCAGTGCTGGAGAGGTCCAATGCTGCCATGCAGGAGATCTGCTGGGTACTTCTCAGAGCCTGACTCTGCGATAATTCTCAGTTTCGGTTTTCTTCACGCATCTCTGCTGATGGCAGCCCCGTGGCTCTACTGTCAGGCACTGTCACCTTTCCTACTGCAGATTTCTCAATTACAATTAGACTCGTAACAGTTGAGAGACTAGCTGGAAACACAAGCATTGCTTCATGTTATTTACTAGATGACTAGGTGGCCTGGCTGATACCCTGGCATTTTGGAAGAGGTGAAAAGGATGTACATTTTTTTTCCTGTGCTTGAATTTCAAAACAAACAGCCAACCTTTGCAAAAAAACTTTCAAAACTGAAAATAAACTCAACTCACAAATCCTAGAGCTGTTCAAAAGAAAGCTAAGTAACCATAGGAACAAGTATCACAGATAATGACATAAACGCTCAAGATGAATCTCACTGCAACTTTTAACATTGTGGTCAAGATCGAGTTTAACCCCAAACTTGAGTGCAAGGGGTGAGTTTGATAAAGTGGGAGCTTGATAGCCACGCACAGGGAATCCTGCAGAGCTGCTTGTGGGGTTGTGTGTCCCTGACCAGCCCGTGTACAAATGGGTCCACACAAGCCACCTCGTATGTGCCCACAACTATCACAATCTGCATGCTCAAATGTTGATAACTGTCTTGGGATATGTTCGTACGTCTGCTGAGGAGCATAAACTAGATGTCTTACAATGTTGCATGCTACTTTTGCATGCATCCATCTTTTGGGGCAGCTATTAAATGCATTATTTCCAGGCATTTCTAACTGTCCTCCTAGACTGTCTTAAAATTATGAGTCTGTATCTTGAAGTTCAAACTGAAAGAAACTATGCTCAGAATGATGGCTTTCAAATCTCCCACATATAAAGATAAAAATAAAAAGAAAAGATATAAAAAATATAAAGATAAAAATATAAAGATATAAAGTCTTAGGCATAAATGCCTAATTCTCGACAATAAAGAGTGGGAGAAACAGCTGTAATTCAGCTGTAACTGATTTAAATATAATACATTTGTAACAGCTTAATGAAAAATTTAAATTGAACGGCAATGATTCAGTTGGGTTCTTCAGGAAATAAAGGGGGTACATTCCTGCCTCAGTTACTACAATCTCACTGAATTGTACTCTCAAGATACATGAGACATGGTTTTCATTCTTTTTTACCCTGGAAGCACTTAAACACCATTTGTCTTTTTTTTCCCCCCCCCCAAGTTTCACTATACCTACTTGTTTATTACAAACCCACACTGTTCTAGTAGATCTTATAAGTATATTCAATTTTTTCAGTCACTGTTTAACTTCCAGAAGAGTTGAGAACTGAAAACTGGAAATATAATTTATGACTGAAGTGAAATACAATGCCCTACACTCAAATATAAAATAAGAATAGAAAAAAGAATACTTAATCATAAAACACAACAGGCTCAAAGGGAGTATTTTGTTTCTCATCAATACACATAAAAGGTTACTAAAAAATACACCTAAAAGATTTTGGTCCCCACTGAATTTCCTAATTTGTAACAGATCTGTGAAAATGACTTAAAATATTCTCTGCTTACTAAATATTAGTAATGATTTTGATTATCCTATTTGCCTTTTTAACACATTATTTGCTAAATAATGTGCCTGATATTCACAATGTTTTATTGCCCTGCTAGTTTTGACTGAATACTACTAACCTGATACAGTATTTGGATTCCCTAACTATTTACACATAAATCTTAGACTCACATTTCAGGTGTGAATACTCCAGTTTAGTATTTTGAAATTCACTGTTACTGCAAATCCTTATGAATTATTTCAGCTACATTTAAACATACACTTATGTGAAAGTAAATGGGTCGTAACCTGAGAATTGACTATGGGTAAAAGGGTTAATTTTAGCCTTTGCAAACATTGCCTGATATCCTCTTAAGTTTTTACTTTTCTTTCAATAACTAAAAAAACCCTATTTGCATGAAGGAACTTAAAAAAAAAATATCATGAACACAGCCAAGTTTAAAATTGGAGTGGACAAATTATTTGGGAGGTAGAATAAAAGCTTTGAATCTTACTTCAGTAATTTAACAAGTTCTACTGGATTTTGGATTTGTAGCATCCAAACACAGATCTTGCAAGCTGGGTAGGTAGGACTTATGTGAAATGTAATTTAGACCTTCAGATTAAGAAGCAGAGCAATGAAAAAAAAAGACTATAAACTCTGAAAATATGCTGAGATGTAGGATTGAACAGGTAGAAAACAATACTGAGTAAAAGAGCCAACCCCAAATCTCTCACTGGTATCCTAATATTTTATATATTGTCTAATTAAACATTAGGAAAATTAATGAAACTTAAGCCTTCCAACTTATTGAATACCTTTCTTCTGTGCATAAGTGGGATCTTCTTATGAATTCCAAAGGGGGGGAAAGAAAAAGATCAGTGATGTTTGTAGAATGAAAATAAAAAAAAATACAGAACATTTGACAACATCAATGGAAACGCAATGCTTAAGTAAAGTCTGAAAAACAGAAAAGAAACAAATTAGGCAGGGAACATCCAAAAGGAAAGAAACAGATTGAGAACGATGGGGAAAAAAAGAAAAAAAACCTTTTCAGCTTAACGCCTTGTTAATAGGTTTTGCAGGAAACCAACATGCAGGCAGAAGATCAGCAGCAAAGCTTAGCCTCAGTGTTACCATACCTTGAACGCATATTTTCTGCTACATTATTGCAGCTGCTTTGATAAGGCTTAATCACTTCTCAAAAGCAGCCTCTCCAGTTTATTTGGGGTGTGCCTGCCTGATGACACTTCTTAAAGGAATGAAGCCAATTCCTCCCGTTTATTTATGTTTGATATCTGAAAGAATAGTTTACTACCATAGACACGTCTGCTGCTTCTACCAAAATCTGTGCCATCTACCGCACGCATGCATTTTTTCAAATGGTCCAGCAGCTTACAGTTATCAAATCCAAACACCACCGTGGTACAAGGTATTGCATTTTAAAATCAACTATGTTTGAGAGCAAGACAAGTGCAGCACTTGGTGCCTAGGCACAACTGCACCATGACACGTGTTTTGGGGGCAGTGGTTATCTAGTGCACGCTGCTAGGTTGGTTCAAAGGCAGAGCACACCAACGTGCCGTGCTATGGCTCACATGAAAAATGCTTTGGGCATGGAAACAACCATATGTGGCCAAATAAATGAATGAATAAATAAATAAAAAGATCACATTAACATGCTCCTCCGCCACCAACTCTCAGAGATTAGGTATACATTGCAGCCCAACCTTGCTGGTTTGGAGGAAGAACAAACATAAACCAGTGGGAAAACCCCTCCATTTCCCTTCTAGTTAAAAATTAACTCATTGAAAAGCTAAGACTCTCTCATCTGCCCAGGTGGTATCATGAACACCCTTAGCAAGGTATTGGTAAGTAACTGAGACTTAATGAGGAGGCCTTTGCCTTTGCTCAATCAGTCTCTGTGTTA